TGTGGTGTTATCACATATTCTCTATTTGGTTTGTGCGACAGCCTTACAATCACAAACAGTTCCAATGATAACACGCGCACTTTTCGTTAGGATAAATTACTATTGGATATAAATACCTTTTTATTACACTCATAATTCGTCAATCTAGCGATGAGTTTAAGTTCTAGCTGTAGGTGGCCTTTGGTTAAATATATAATTATAGCAGATGTTAATTGGTAGAGGTACTTAAAACACTCAAACGATCAAAAATTTTTAGTACACAAATAAAACCTTTATTCTATGCCCGATCAACATTTTGAAAACAGATGCTCTACATGTTTCGACGTCAAATCACGTCATCCTCAGGAGTGTGAAAACAAAGTTTGTGAAAGTCTGAATAATCTGATCACTATGACTTGCATGTTCAGCAAGCGCAGAATTATTACTTTTGTTTTTAACAAAAAAAAAAAACTGCTATTTTGCTCAATCGAATGATATGACGGCTACAAATATTAGAGCAACTATAGCCCCCCAGTGGCACAGCGGTATGTCCGCGACTTACAACGCTAGAATCCGGGTTTCGATACCCGTGGTGGGCAGAGCACAGATAGCCCATTGTGTAGCTTTGTGCTTAATTACAAACAAACAAAAAGCAACTATATAAATAATGAAACATATTAAAAATAATATCATATCTCAAATATGGATGAAGGGTTGGAAAGTAAGAAAATATGGAAATTGCGTTTTTCTTTAAATTCAGTATGTAAACTAAGTAGTCACATGACCAACGGCTCTTTGTATTATGAATCACGACAGTGGTTCATAACAGAGATCGCAAGAAATTGCACAAAACCCTAATAGAACGTTCGAGTTTGTTTGTAACTCAGCACAAAGCTTAAACAATAAAAATTCAGTTCAAACAACACTTTAAATACTTTACTATTGACTGCTAAAGCTGTGCACATATGAAAATACAAAAAAACACTCATATTAAATTTACTAGGAAAATAATTCCGCTCGAAACGCCCCGTTTGTAATTATTATTATTTTCTTGCCAACCTACAACAAAGCGGCTTAGTATATTGCAACCAAACCTTTTTGTAAAATATCATATAAGGTATTGCGACGGTCATAGAAGTATGGAAAAGTCGATTTGTTTCTTTTATATTTTACATAAACTAAAAAAAACATAATTCTAGTGTAAATGATGTTATCGTTACCCCTTCAAGTTAGCTCTATTATAAATTCTTTATAAACATTTATAAAATATATGTTTTATAAATAAAAAATATATATATATGTGTGTGTGTGTGTTCCTTTAAAAAGCTTAAATACAGGGTGAAACAGGAATTACCAGCCAATAAAAGATGAACATTAGATGACTGTAACATGTAGATACTCAATGCTTTGTACACTATACAATCGATGTCTTTAGAGAACTAGCCGCTATATTATGTACGAAGTGAAAGAGTAGAAAAACAATCAATACACATAATATTAAATTTTATTACACACATTCGTAAAATAATTAATTTAAAAGTCACGAAGGTTTATTTAGAACGATGTGTTAGACGTATATATTTTATGTAAAAAAGGCTTCTTTTCAACTGGTAAAATTTTATACGCGCTTTGTGGGGGGGGGGGGTCTTAGTCTAGACATATATTTGCTCATTTCTATGCATTATATATAGATAATTTAGTTACACAGAAACTTATAAATGTTTACTATATTCTCAAACAAATCCCCATGACAATCTCCAGCTGCAGCTTAACATCTTACATCTCGAACTAATGCGATCAAATAATCAATAGCTACAGTAAATCATCATGCACCGTATCAGCTAGCTACCATATCAAGTAATCCTTTGCTCATAGTCGAGCATAAAAAAAGCCAGCAAACAAGATAAATAAAAAATTAGGAATTTAAAAACCTGCAAATAGAGATCGTAAAAGAAATAAGGAAACAAGGCTGGAGATACTGTAGGCATTATCAACTCAAACTACATATCCCTATTTTGAATCCACCAAATGTAATTTTAGGTAACATTATGGAGCCAAAATAGGGGTTTGTTGTTTGAGTAAATAATATCTCCAGTATCTGCAGTCTTGTTTCATTACTTATTTTTACTATCCCTATTTGCAGGTTTCTAAATTCCCATTTTTTTATTTATCTTGTTTCTTTAGAAAGACTGATTATTTGAAGTTGGATATTTTGTATGCTGTTGTGAGTAGGAAGTTCTGTATGTTTTGTAATTTACTTTTTATATGTGTTAGTACTACATTAATCCATGCCAGGCATGCATACTCTGTTATTTGGTGTGTGTATGTATGTAGTGTAAATTTGAATGATATTTGTTTTTATTGTTCCTCTACTTTTACCTGTCATAATCCTAGCATAACAGAAAACCGTTAATAACTTTACACAAACACAGCGCATAACGAGCCTCACGATGTACTAACAAATATTTTGGATAATTTCGTTCCATAATAGGAAAAAAGGTAGGTGGTTATACGGACAATAAATTACGAAAAAGAAAATAATCTAAACTTTCAGATGATATATTTATGACTTCGACAACGTTAGAAACAAGACAGTCATAACAAAAATGTCCAAATAGTTGAATTTTACCAGCTTCAAGAATTCATTGTTGCTAACCTATCTAAGTTTCTTCTAATCATACGCATTTTCGACTTTGTTGCATCTGCTAGCAATTTGTTTCTGTGCGGGCGAGAAATATATATATTTACAATATCTGAATACAAATTCTAAAAATGATTGAAAAATCGACAGTTAGGGCTAAAGATCCAATTATTATTTCACCGAAGAAAAATATTACTAAAACTTACACCAAAACAAAGTTTAAAATCTCAATATTTCACTTATAGTTATATTTAAGAGAACATTTGTAAGGATACAAAACAAAGTTTAAAATGTCAATATTTCATTTATAGTTTTATTTAAGAGAACATTTGTAAGGATACATCACAAATATTTTTTCAAAATTTGTTGTCGTACATTTCTCCAACTGCGACCCGAAATGCCCAGGTGCGACGGAGTTAAATAATCTGATTCAATTCGGTTCAAAATTCCGGTAGAGTTGATCAAATAATGCGTATCGCTTATGCATTTCTAAAAGTGAAGGAAAGTAACGTGATTTCTTTACAAAAAATATGACAAACACACATACAATTAACAAAGAAGACTCGGCTTCGGTCAAGATTTTCAGTAAATGCTTGGTATACTTTTAAAACAGAAATAATAAGCAATCAATCAATCATAGGTGTTTATTAATTACTGCCCCCCCCCCCGCTCAGGCAGCTCAGTGGTAGCTTATAACGCTAAAAATTGGGTTTCAATATTCTTAGTGGGCATAATATAAATAGTTTAATCTGTAGCTCTCCACTTGATAAAAAAACAATTCCTGCTAAGCAGCGCCATCTATGAACTATAGTTATCAAACTTTAGTCAGAATATTTAAATAACAAAACAAGAAGTTTACAAAATGAAATTAATCATTTACACAAAGATATCACACTTTTCTTATAATTGGTAAAATAAATATCAAATATAACGTGCTTAGTTTTGTTTTACTTAAAGCATAATATTATCATACAGCTATATACTGATGACTAAGCACGGCTTTCTTTTTTGTCTAAAATTGTTACACTTTACAGTAACTTCAGATTCATACTAGTATTAAACGTTGGATATCCGTATTCTCACACCAGTCTTCAAATCTTAACAATGGTGTGTATGATTCAATTGAAATATAAAAGCTTTAGATTTTCAGTATTAAAGATAATATAATTTCAGTTTCCAGAAGAGCATTTGGAAAGACTAATATTGACTAGAAACGTTTTCCAGCACTTAAAAACCACACTAAAATACCGTAAGTAGAGAATAAAACTTTAAGTTTTTCGTGTTTTTTTTTGTAAATAGTCATTCTTTTTTAATCATATTTCAAATTCCAAATATACAATAACACCAGGGGTTCGATTCCAGCGGTGGACACAACAAATAGTCCAATGTGGTCCTGCTCTAAAAACACACGCATACACATAAAACAAATAAACCTAACAAAAGTTGTTCTGATACAACTGAAATATAATATCGATATACTATACGAGACAGTTATGTGTTCATCTATTGTTTTTTAAATCGATTTATCTGCTAAACATGTAATTAATTACGATAAGTAAACTAATTATCCGGTACAACTACTGGTAAAATAAGAAAACATTTTATTTTTCGAATATTCATCTCACAACATTAGAGAAAACGGCATCGTGATTTCTAAGTTAAGAAAGGCACTTGCTGCAACTATAAAAGCAATTTCAATCATAATAGTTTCAGTGAATTAAAAATCTTACCTTGAGAGCCTACCCACTTTCAGCACTAGCACTAGTAAAACATGACAGATACTACTATCAAATAATACCTCCATTCCGCTGAGGGGTTCAGAAGCCCCTCATGATCCACGGAGGCCCCAGAGTACTGACCAAGCTCCTCTATTATCCTCAGTTACTTCTATAGCTATCGCATGGTGGGGGAAGTCCATACCCGAAAACAAGCCCTGTTAGTACACCCACCAGTGGTACCTTCCTTTGATAAGGGGGGTTATACCATGTAGATAAATACACCCCGGGACATCACAAATAACCCCGTTTGGTCCTGTTGGCTTAATATAGTTAATATACGTTGAATATGTTTGATAAATAACATTTGTTATTTAGATAGTCCAAGAATATAGAATATTATGTTATATACCAGCCTATCAACATACAAATTAAATAAAAATAATCTATTCGGTAAACATGTGGTCTAGCATTAAAAATGAAAAAGATTGTCTTTAGTTAATTAAATCACTAAATTCACCTTTTTCTATGCAAACAATATGCAGTTTCAGTTTCGCTTTCTAGAACACAGCGCTACCTACGAGAGTATGTTTGTAGCGAGAGTCTGTCTAATCATCCAGTGGAGCAGATGGAGAAAGGATGAGAAACCAGATGTGTGTCAAAGGAAAGATGTGAGGTTATGGGTGACATCCTAAACGCCACGGTCAGCGCTAAAAGTTGCGGAAGAATGAAATAATGTCCACTGTAGTAAGTGTTTTTAGCATTATTAGCTGAGGATTTATCCAACAAAATTAAGCTGTAGTTCGAATAATTATTGGCATAAAACTTAACTGCGTTATACTTTAGTTAAATTTTATACTACTACCAGTACCAGTTATTCTGACTCTGAGTTACACAGAACTAACCACCAGTCTATCTTAGTATCTACATTATTGTTTATTGGCTTCAGTTTTTCATCATTGTTGATATGAAAAATTGAGTTTTGCATACCTTTTTACTGTATTAATATTAGTGTATACTGTGCATTTTTTGTTTTTTGCTATAATACAAAAACTGATACTATTAACATTTAAATTATATTGTGAATTTGTTACAGTCTGAGGTCAAATACTACTAACATTAAGAGTACAATTTCATAAAGACTGAATTTTAGTAATAATTCTTGTATCCATAGCTGTGAATTATGTTCTGTGTTTTAAAGTAATCAAATATAATGTTGTTTTTAAGTGTAACTCTTAAGCACATTTTTATTTTTTAGTACGCAAAATGGATTTGAATATATTTTATCAACTTCTTTTTACCGTTTATATAATTTTTCACAAGAGAAACAGAAAATGCAGTGTCTTTGACAGTGAAAAAAAAAAATCCACTATATGTTATGGTAAAAGTAAATAGTAATGATAATATTTAACTATAGCTCTTTTTTTGTTGTTACTTACCTATGGATTCCTATTTCATTTATTTTTAACACAAATATGTATTTATTTCAAGAGAATAATATTATTAACAATAATGTAACACCTTTTTTTTTTTCTAATGAGTGATGACATATGTTTTAAAGATGGAACTTTGATTACTTGATTCATTTTCGTACATGTTTGTAAAACTACATCATAAATGGTATGCCTAGAACCTGTAGTACTTTAACATTTGGCTGTTTCTTGTGATTGGTGACCATTCTTCTATGATGGATGTATATCTTCTTCCAAACTTTGGATTTCAAGGTATAATACTTAGGAAAGAGCTTGACTTCGATTCCAATCATAATGTTTGATGTATATATATCTGTGTATATATTTTACAAAAATTATATTTTTGTATGTATTACAAGCATGTTAGGAAATATTTCCAAATGGGTTACCATGAAAATGTTACAATACATTTAGCAGTTACATAGTAGTCTAAATATAAGCTGACTCACCTTGGGATGAAGCATTTTTATATCTTACCTCTATATATTATAGCTGATCTAACAGAATACTGAAATGTAATTAGTAATGAAGAGAAAGTGACAGAGAAGTAGATAATACAAACTTAGTTTCTTTTATATTATTAGAAGTTTGCAGTGAGTTGCTGGGATTGGAATATTTGGTTGATGTAAGCTTTATAAATGTTATTGACATATGTTGGTAAGTGAAGATTGTGATAATGTGATCCTGGTTTTAAGATTATAATATACAGATGATAAGGAGCCATTTGATCTTACAAGGCTGTCCATATAAACCCACCTCAAAAAACAACAAAATCCTTTCTTTCTATTTTAGCTGGAGCTTTGGGTGTCTTATTGAAATATTAAACTTTTAACTTCTTGTCCTGTTGTCTTCAGAATTCTGGGCAAAGAAATCAGAGGCCTTTATCTTATAAATCCCCTGAAAAATTTTGTGCATTTCCATGAAATCACGTTTTACTTTTCTTTTCATAACGACATTAAAAGATATTATCCCCACAAAGTTATCTAACCATCTTTGGAATCATCCTTGTAGCTTAAAAGTATGATCCAAATTATGATAACTCAAATGAATTACAATGCACTTACTATAATTATATGTCATTTAGCAACTAATTGTCCAACTTACCAATTGATCCAAGTAATTCTGTAGCATCTCAGTATAGCTAGGAGTTTAATGCCATCGTTAGAAATGTTTATAATTTACTAATTATGCCCTTGTCACTGTCATTAATGTAAGAAAGAAAAATAAGTGTCCAGGCACTGACTTCTGAGGAACACCACTAGTGACAGAAGTCCAGTTTTACAGAAATCTTTTATAAACAACTTGGTGCTTTCTTTCATCCAGCTATGTTTCAACCCATTTAATTAGTCTTTACCAATGTGATTTTCTTAGCTAATCGTATATGACACCTCTTCAAAAACCTTTTGAAAATCTAAGTACACCAAATCAACACCTTTACCATAGTTCAAATTAAAAGTACATCTTGAAAAAAAAGTTAACAGATTAGTAAGACAAAATTTTCCTTTAGTGAAATCATCTTTGTCCTCATGATATCAGAGTTCACTAAATGATTTTGCAAAGTTTCTTTTATCAGGTAAATTTCTTTAAATTTTAAGGAGAACCTCCTTTAAACTTACTTAAAAGAAAATAAATAAAACCTATGGAAATGCTTGAAAAAAATTGAGAAAACTCCCTTTCAAAACTAACTCTTTTGCTAAGCTTCTTCAAGATAGGAGTCATATCTCAGATTTTAGAGAAGCTAACTTACACTAATTATAAGATATTTTGAATAAAAAGGATTGGGTGGTTAAACTAAAGGGACAGAATGTTAATGATGCTTGGGATACATAGTTAATTTGATTAAATTGGCTGAAAAGGAGTATTCATAACAAATTTTTATATTCAAACTGAAATGCTTTTTATAAATGGCTAAATAGAGAAATTCATCTTATAATAACTAAATATCTTACAAGAACATGTAAAAAGGCAGATGCTAAAATTTATAAGTAGAAAGAAATCAAATACTATATAGTACTGACCAAAAAAGATTATGAATGATTTTTTTGTTGAAAACATTGAAGATGGCTAAAACGTTTTTTTTTATGCTCATATTAACTGAAAAGAGAAATATAGTTTGAGAATAATCTTCCTTTAAGAGGTTCTAAAATTAACCTTATTTCAGAAGAAGATAGCTTACTTAAACTTAAAGAAAACGATTCCTAAGCTAATCAGTTTCTTTAAAGGTGAGGAATTATTCTGAACTTTTATTGATTTGTTGAAGTTTTATGATGGAGCTTGCTACTTTTAGGATGGGTGTTTTCTTGTTATTATTGTTTACCTTTACTTTTGATGGCCCTTTGATGTGATGTCTCATGGGAGATTGATTGGTGGGTTGGATGTGTATGAGATTAATGAAAAAGTTTGTAGATGGTTAGAAGGTTGGCTTGATGGTGGATAGGCATTTTTTTAACTTGAAGAATGTAACTGATGAGTCCAAGGTTCATTAAAGTTCATTAGAGTTCTTGTCTTGTGATTATATTGTTTATTATTTCTTTTAATGATGGATAACTTCTTGGAAATTGGTGTTTCAAAGTTTGCTGTAGGATGGGAGGGTCTAACTCTGTTTTGAATGCCTGTCCTATTGAGAAGGACCTTGAAAGGCTTGATGGATGAGTATGTTTGTGGAAGATGAGGTTTGGTATTGAAGGGTGTAGAATTATATGTTTTGAGATGTAGAAGTTTGGAGGGAATTGCTTTTGTTGTGTAGGTAGCATTGATGGTATGAAGGGTTAGGTGCCTTTAGTGTGATTGTTGAGGCCATCTTGTGAGTGTTTGACTGTAGTAAAGGAAGCAAGTGGACCTTTTTAAACTTTTAGTTTAAGAATAGGAAGGTATGTTGTGATCTCATGTAGGATTCTGGTGGGATCTGTCATTTGGAATGCCATGTGTGATTTTGATACCCTTTTTGCAGGAACAGTGTTAGCATGTGGTGTGATCTGCTAGAGTGACATATCACTTTGGTCATTTGAACTGCTATAAAATGCTTGGAATTTTTGCTTGTTCACTCTGAAGCATGGAGGAGTTGGAGAGGACTTGATTCTATTGTCCAGGATTATTAGGAGATTAGGTGTTTTGTTTGAGATGTGGAGTACAGATTACAAGTTTTTTATTAAGTGGGCTTTGAGAACTTGGATGGGGTCTTCTTCTTCAACATATACTTTTTCCTTTTTTTTTTCAGTTGGAGTTGTGAGCTTGTGGAGAGGTTTGCTGGCTGATGTGGAGTGTGCAGTTGGTTTGTATTGTTTTTTATTTTTTTAAATAGATGTATGGGTGTGAAGGACTGTTTTACATTGGATTTTGTTTATTAGTTTGGTCTTGATTCATTAGGTGAATGATTTTCTATCACATTGCTTTTTTTTTCATTTTACATTTATCACATAATCTAGAAAATGCTTAGTAAAGAAATAGTAGAACTTTAAATGTTGCCTGTTAAAAATTACTAATGAATGAAATTGCCAGTGTTCTCCATATTAAATTTAAAAAGTAAATGTAGGGCTTTTAGTTTGACTTCTGTTGTTAGCTAGGTGTTGAATTCATATTATCATTTAGAAAAGCTTTTGGAAAGGTAATATTTAAAATCATTGTTGTTTCTGATATGTCATTTGCTTTTTTTTGGGGGGGGGGGTGTAAAAGCAAATAAGTTACTAGTAAAGCTATAAATACATGCATATCTGTCTGTTTTTGAACCTCTGTTGTTCAGTATTTGTGCAGTTGTAATATAAAGGTAGTCTTAGTGAATGAACTTCTTTATGAAGTAAAGTAGATAATTATCATTTCTACAGAGATGTGTATGTGCAGGTGTTACTCTAGAATTGTTAAACACAGTAAGAAATGCACAGAAAAATACAACCCAATTCTTATTTTCACCAAAAAAACAGGTTCATTTAGGTTATCAGTATTATTTTAGTATTATGTTTCTTTGTATTTTGATAAATTTTTGGGCAAAAAGTAATTGTCAAAACAGTTGTAGAAGGAAAAACAATGAAATATTCAAATGTAATTTTATAATAAATTGTAAAATTGATTAGTAGTTAGTTTATTTGGCTACTTTCAAGCACATAGTTTCCTATAATTTGCATGTACAACCCAGTAAACGAAACAAAAAATCATTCTGTTTCAAAAACCCTGGAAAGGAATTTTTGCTTTAAGCAAAGTTTACTTAGTATACTTGAAAATCCCCAAATAATTCCAAATTCTTATCATTAATGAGTTCTTCGTATGTTTTACTTCAAAGAATTTCATAATTTTACCCTTCCTCCCAGGAGCAGAGACATTTTCCATACAAAGTATGGAGCTGCCACAGAGAGACAAGGAAAGCAGTTGTGGCAGCTTCTCTCTCAGATCTTCGAATTAAAGGTGAAAACTCCTTTTAGTAAGATGTTTTTATTACTAGATTTTTTCTTTTCTGTTAATCTGCATGTCATGTCCAAAGTGATTCATACTCAGCATCATAAGATTAAGTATACAAGAGCCATTAATTTCATGACATACCAAATTTAACCCTATTAAATTGATTTTGTTTGTAGAACTTCTTGCTTATAATGTTATGTTTAAAAGGCCAATTTTATCCTCCCTGACATGTGTATGTACCATAATTAACCTGTAAAACAGACATCTGTACAAGAATTAGCCTGTAAAAATAAATATGTATATCAAAATTAGTCTGTAAAACAAACATCTGTACAAGAATTAGCCTGTAAAAATAAATATGTATATCAAAATTAGTCTGTAATATATGTACCAGAATTAGCCTGTAAAAATAAATTTGTACCATAATTAACCTGTAAAATTAACATGTGTACCAGAATTAGCTTGTAAAACAAGTATATGTACCAAGATTAGCCTCTAAAAAAGAAAAAAACATATTTAGCAATGCAAAACTTTTTATTTTTAATGGAAATTTGTGTATAATTTTACCATATATAAAGAAATCAAGTTGAATGATAACAATTTTCTACTAGGCTTACAGTGTGTTTTTTTTAACTTAGAACTTAAAAGTACACTACTTATGTATGATATCCTAGTTCTAGTAAAAAAACTATAGTATGTGCATATATATAACATAACATACAAACAACAAGGAGACATTTGGTAATTTAAAGCTATCTCTTCACCCTTAAGGAAAAGTAAAAACTCACCCTTTATTTTTCAGGAAATTATTGATTTCCTTTTGCAACTCTTGTAAAGTGCCAGTCTACTACTGCAGGTGGCAACTCATTCCATAAGCCAGTAACCCTGTTCAAAAAGTAAAATTGTTTTAACTGGAGCCTATCCTGATTTTTACAAACTTAAATTTGAGTCAGCTCAGCTTGTTTCCTTCGGATTATAACACAAATAAAGCAGAGACTTTTATACTAATTATTGATCCCCTGGATAATCTTATAAACTTTGTACGATCACCTCTTACCCTCCTTCACACAAGAGAAGATAAGTTGAGATCTTAAGTTATTTCCATAAGGTTAACCTTCCATCCCAGGAGTAATATCTTTATAGCTCTCCTCTGAATTCTTTTCAACAAGTCAATATCATTTCTTAGATAAGGAGTCCAAAACTGTACTCAGTATTCCAAGTGAGGTTTAACTCATGATTTATGTATAGAGTTAGTTACCTCTTTTGACTTGAAATCAAAATAAATAAATATAAAGCACTGCTTCAATAACTTGTGTGACTTATCCACCACTATGGCAAAATCCATTTCCTCATTCACACTACTGAGTGAGTTACCATCTATATTAAATGTGTGATACAAATTATGATAACTGCATTATAATTAAAGGTCATTTGCTAAAAACTTGTCCAACTAACCAATTAGTCTGAGTCATTTTATAATATGTCAATACTGCTAGAAATACCCAAGAGTTTAATGTCATCAGCAAACTTTCCTAATTCACTAATTATGTCCTTATCAATATCATTAATGTAAATAAGAAAAAGTCCCCTGAAGCACTCCACTATTAACATGAGTACAGTTTGACTGGATTATGTTAATATCAACTTTTTTACCTTCTCTCATCCAACTATTCTTCAGTTTAATTTACTGATCTTTCTTCAACTCTCACTGTTGTAATTTTCTTAACTAATCTTTTGTGTGGCACCATATCAAAAGTTTCATGATATTCTAAATATACCATTTCCATTATTATTTATGATTAATTCAAGATTGTTCAGCTTAATCAATTACTGTCATGACACAAAAATAATCAACTTATTAGAATTATTGTTTCCAGTTATTACTATTTTTGGTTATTACATTTGTCCAAATCTCATATGAGAGCAAGTAACTATTGTAATTTACTAATAAGCCAGAAAATTAATCAATTAGAATATTCTATTAATTGTCCAGCATTACAGATTAGTAAGGGAAGATGTTATGGAATCTATATTGAATTTCTCTTATGATAAATATATTTCAACAGATTATTTTGCAAAGCTTCTTCATATCAGATCTCTAGAATTTTTCCCATTAAAGAATTAAGACTAACTGGTTTGTTATTTCTAGGGAAACTTATCCTTCATAAGATAACCCTTCCATTCCCTGAGTAATCCTAATAGCTTTTTTCTGAACTCTTTTCAACAAGTCAGTATCCTTTTTTAGATAAGGAGACCAGAAATGTACACAGTATTCCAAGTAATTTTATTTGGTTACTTTCAAACAAATGTTTTTTTCTATAATACATGTGTGTGTGTGTGTGTACAGTAACAAAAGATCATTCTATTTCAAAAAAACATAGTGTGTAATGTCTGCTCCAAGAAAAGTTCTTTTAGTATACTGTAAAGTCACTTGAAATCATTCTAATAGCTCTCCTGAATATACTATTATAAATCAACGTGATGAACTTGTATATTAAATGAAATAGAGATGAGTTATTGATTGGGATCTCATTTTAAACATTATACCACCTCATGAGAGCCTGCATATTAATTATGTTCTTTTATACTTTTTACACCTAAGATATTCATTTTCCTTTGTCTTTTTCTTGTAATAAAAGTTGTATTTAATCATTTAAGATAGCTAAATAATTTTTACTTGTTTTTTGTCAATTTTCCAGATAATATATCATATGTGACTGGTTTCATGAAAATGTGGTGCTCTGTGTTTACACATAGAAATTTATCTTTTTAAAGTGTCTGAATTTTTCTCTACAGTTTTTACATTCAACTATTGATATATGATTTGACACTCTTGTTTCCAACTCTGAATCTATGAAAACCTATTTAGTTTCTTCTATAAATAGTTATTAAATAAAATACTACTTATAGTGGTTATCAAGAATCGTTAATGACATTACGAAGTTTCAATTCACACTGACCATAATTGTGATTATTATCTTAATGAACTTAAAAGCTTTTTTTAAAATGCTTTTTGTCATCAATTCCATATGGAAAATATTTTGCTTTAAATAAAAGTTGTGGGCTAGAAGATTTATGTCAGATTATACAGTAGTCAGTTGTTGTTAAATATTTGCTTGCAGCTATTACAGAAGTTGAGCACATTATATTAAAATGATTTTGGAGCTTCATCACATCATTATATCATCATTTCCTTGTCTGGTTATGTTCTACCTGATGACCATGCATCATAACAATAGCCCTGCTGTATAGTTTCCACTGGAAAAGGTTCAGTCAGAAGGCTGCCATGTACAAAGAGTCCCAGATCTCCCTAAATGCTTTCCATAATCCATCTAGTGTATGAGGATGACAGTTTACAAGCATCTGCTTCAACAGCCCAATCACACAGAAATTTATAGCTGGTGCATCCAGCTATTTGAACAGTATTTTTTGCATGGATTAATATGATTACCCATTTCATTCTCCAGGTGTTTGAGGTATGCAATGATTGACTGGATATGTCATGGAAGCAATCTGTATACACAAGACTTGTGTCACTTTTCCAGATAGAGATTCTTCTTGATTGTGAAGTGTACTGTTACTGTTGCCATGTGGATGGCTTTTTCCACCTGTTACGAGATGCTGAAATTTGCTTACCACAGCCTGGATATTACTTGTCGTAGGTCTCTTTCTAGATAGTTCTGGTGCCCAAAGTTGATACATATTCCTTTGTTTTTTAATGCAATTAAGTACAAATGATATCCACATCCTAGAAATTCTAAATCCCCAATCTAAACACATCTTTGTGATCTGAATGTATAAATATTTTGTCTCAAAAAGGGTTGTTACAAACTTTTCCTAAAAGTGATCATTTTTTATGGCATCACACTACCTACAGAACGACAAACAATGTCAACATTTAGTTTTGATATATGCCATTCCTTCATGACTTTATATAGGCTGTGGTTCTCATGTGACTTTTTTATTTCTATGTTCAAATAATTTTAATATAATGTACTCAACTATCTGTATTTTCATAAGAGTATTTTAATTTGCTGATTATTTTTATTTTATTTAGTAAACATTGTTTGAAGTTTATATATGAATATTATAGAAAATGACTTTTATAATTTTTTTAATTTTTTGCTTTATTTTGATAAATTGTTTAATTTTAAAGCTGGCTAAATATTTTATAAGATATTAAAGCAAGCTGGTCAAAAACTGCATTTTAAGTATAACTTAGTTCTCACTTTTTCATTCTGTTAAATATCTTTCATGACAAAGGAATTTTTTGCATAATATTACAGCTTATGCTTTGTTCGAATATTTGTTAGGTCTCAGTTTTGCTCCAGGCATCTCTTTGTAAGTGTATTTCCAAGTTCTTCAACATATCAAACAATACTCATAAACTGTGAATTTTTATTTTATACTATATTTTGGCATACATGTACACAAGAAAAAAAGTTATTTTTGTGCTCTAGTTTTTTGCAATGCATTTAAAATGCTTTTTTTATGAAAAAGAGTAAATGTTAGTATTTTGGTAACTTTGTAACATGGGTTATAACTTAACAGTAATTGGTTTTTGTTTAAAATAATCTATAATTTTTAGTTACAACGATTGCTATATTCATCATTCTTTTAAATTTTCTGTTTTTTTTTCAACCAAGGAAACAAACATTCAGTAAAAAGCTTTTACAGTTTGGAAGTAAATAATAAAAGTTGAAGGATTTTTTAAATAAAATATTTGATACATTTAAAGCACATTACATTTATAGCTTCCGACTTAAACAATTACTTGCATATTGTGCTAATGCACTAATGTAGTGTTGGATAGAAAAGTCATACAGTTTTACTTAAGAGTCTATTTTCCAGATAAGTATATTTCTTGAATTTAGTGTTTTCTCATTACATATTTTAATATATTTTGATGTATATAATTAAAGTATGATGATGACTTTATTTGTAGTATGTTTTGTTAATGTTTAGTTTGTGCATATTGATATGATCTTTAGAAAAAATTTTGTTCACCTTTTAACATGTGATTTGATAATGTACTGTAAGATATGTTTTTGAAAAAGGAAAATATTACATTATCTTGGAAAGAATAGCTAATCAAATTAAAACTACAAAAATGGTAATCCTATATAGCTTTGTTTGTATTTCTTCTTTACTACAGGTGGAGAAAGGTTAGGCTACAGTAACCCTACAGAGCTCAAAGTGGTGCTAGAAAGTGATGGAACAGAGGTTGAAGATGAAAATTACTTTAAAACAGTGGACAGAGACACAATCTTTATCTTGCTCCGTCCTGGTGAACAGTGGTTCCCTCCTAGCATGGAAACATTGCGAGCAGGTATCTCTTGTTTTTAAAGAAACAAATCCAGTGAATAAGAAGCCATAAATATGACTACAATTTTTAAGAATCCAACCATACATCAATTCTTCACAGGAGTAGTGGTTTTAACTTTTCTTAAAATTAACCCCATTTATATGTTTTATTTTTTATGTTTTAATTTTGAATGAAACCACCCGTAGAGTTAATGATTATTTCTTCTAATTTACACTTTACTCATATATCCTAATGTAGGTATTAAAATAGTTTTTAATACAAATGAAATCATATGTTTTGTTACTAAACAAAACTGCTTGAATTTTCCATTTTTAGAACCGTAAACAGATTTTTTTTTTGTTTTTAGTGCTTTTTACATCTTTTTTTTTTTTTTTTTT